GTTGACAGATTTTTTATAGTTATATTCCTCTAAAAAAATGGTATACTCAAAACTGTGTGTCCGTGCTCATCATGGTTTGCTTTTTTTTTATAGAGAGTGTGAAATATCACTGTAAATGGTATTTCAGTGCAAGATAGAAGAGTCTTGTGATGCTTGTAACCTAGTGTGAAGGCTTTGTAAAGCATTCAATTGACTGACACATGTCACGGTGTACAATTCCCCACTTAACCACTACTACTCTTAATAGTAGTAGTATCAATAGGACTGCTATTTTCGTTGATTTCAGTCTGTTGACTGATGGAACCGTGGTGTTTACATTGTTCCATTTCATTGCCCACATGCCACCTGGACTCGCAATGAATGCTTACACACCTCTGAGCTTTCATGAAGAACTGCCTGTCTGCCTCTATATTACATTGTTGGTGTTTTTACAATACTCGGGCTTACGTTGTAGATTGGTTAATCCACAATGTGTGTTTGTGTTGTGTTTCACATTTGAGACGCACGTGTTTGACTGTGCTTCGATTGTTTTTATTCGGGGGGGAATCATTCCCATTCCAAGCCTGGGTTTAGGTTAAGACATTTTGTGCAGATTTTACCTGTTTTTCAGCTTTTCATTATACTGGGGAATCGGAAACCAAAATATGCTTTTCCAGAGTCTGGCCCTTTCACCTGAAAATTAAGTGCATCTCCTTGATATCATGAGCGACATGTCTACAGCAGTTCCAGAATCTGCTTTCTGAATTTTACCATATTTCCTGAAGTTGTACCACTCAGATCCTTTGTTTTTGTTTAATAAAATTATGATATGAGATGCATGTTAGATCTGTACACTGGTATTTAAAAAGCTGTTGGCTTTTCAGTCCAGAGGTTTGCAGGTAAAGGTCAGAGGTTAAGATGTTTGAATCTTTAAGAGTGCTTCACACTCTTTGTGTCTTCCAAAGTGTTCCTTCATCAACATTTGTGTGTGCATTTCACTATAGCTGGGACGAATCCATAAAAGAATTAAGTTCACTGTTAACTCAGCTTCTCTAAGGCTGAAGTGAGTTAAGTCTTAAAATACTTATTTTGTTACAGAGCTAAAGAACTAATGAGAGAGAAAAAAATAATTTACAGTATCATGTTGATATGCTAACTTAATAAAATTACAGCCATCACTGTAGCATTCATCACAAAGTCAGGAATGCGTTCTTGATGTGATGTTCACTTAAACTTTTCAGTTTGATCATCAACATCATAAGTCAGAAAGCATCTTATGTAATTATCTGTGTTTTGATTTATCACTATGAAACATCATCAGCATCACTGTCATCATTTAACAGCAGAGATGCACAGAGAGGGCCCACCATCATCATTCAGCTGTGGACACATGGTGAGACATCATTTGATTCAAGCTGGATTACAGTCACATCAGTTGCATAAGCAATACAGTTGTTCCGTTATAAATGTTTTAATACCAGTTATTAGATTTCCTTTTTTATATAAAAAAAAAAGATATTTCATGATTGCACCATTGGACATTTTTCACAGTACTTTTTAGATATAAAATATACTCACCAGTCTGTTTAAGTTGCTTATTTAATTTTGATACAGTGTAGTATTCAGATGAAAGGTGCAGAATTTGATATCAGTAACATGAACCTATCTTGTATGGTTTAGGCTTCTTTGAGCAACATGATGGTATGAGATATTTTTTTGACACTTAAAAGGTATAGGGGAGGATGATCTTGTTCTGGGTGGCTCATCAAAATAAGTGGTCTACCTATTTGTCAATCATCTTGGTGTTATTTTTAAGTAAGGCCGTCCTACTTGCTCATCCCCATTTTCACTTATCGGTGGTGAGTCCAGCATAGTGGAAAAATTGCAAATCTTCTTTTGGAAAGTAAGCTTGTATGAGTGATGCAAAGAGCAACTTTTTAATAGAGTGTGCACGTGGAGAAATGGGCTTGTGAATGCTCTCGCACACGTTTAATAGCCGTTCTCTCTCGGGATGGGTATGTGCCATCCTGTGGTACATGTACCTCCTTATAATATTAACGATCTGATGATAAAACCAATTTTTCATGGGCATTTCGACCATGCAAGTACGAAAAAACCAAATCCCTTTTTATTCATATTTAAGGTTTTATGTGCACAGCTGGTCAATAATCAGTTGCCCAGGCCTTAATTTCTTGAGGTGCACGGTTTGTGCTGAGCAGAAAATCTTTGCCAAGGAGATGGATATGTAGTTTCCTTTGCTGGTTGTGTAGCTGCATGGGCAGACAGATAGAATTCCAGAGTATCATAAAACAAAGATCTATCAATCTGTTACTTCTTATCGTTAATATTTGCAGCATGTGTTTAGGTAATTAAAGGGTAGAAACACTGTTTGATTAGATGTTGGCTGACTGAATCGGGTTTCTGGAGACTTCTTTTTAATCCAAACGAAGTTCTGGTGCAAAAATAAAAAGGAAGAAAGTGAAGAGATATATTATGATCTACCCAAAAGTCTTCCACTTATCTGAAATTGGGCTGTGAAAGTCAAGAAGAAAAACCATCACCAAGGTAACAGTCCCTAGTTCATTTGATGGGTGGAACTCAGCTCTTCTATATCTCATAAAGAAAGATGAGGGTTTAGATTTAAATGAATACATAAGTAAAGAACTTTCTTCTTATCTTTTACCTTCTTCTATATGAGAATCATGGCCTCATCCTTAGAGGATTCATAAGGTGACAACCCCACCAGTTTGCCTGCAACAACTTTGACAGAAGAACCTAATACACAGCTCCTCTTCTACACACACACATACTTAATGTCCAATATTTGTAAGTGTTTTAACTGATAAGGGGAAGTTTGTAAAAAAAGAAAAAGTCATATTGAGTGTTTACATATTTACATGTGCATACAAATGTGTAAATATTGTGTGTACACATTATTACTGTTTTTGTTTGCTAGTCCGAGTGTGTTTAGTTGCTTTGTGCACACAGATGCCCTTTAGTGCCAAGACTAAGAAGGGATTGGTCGCTGGTTTGTTTTGTTTTCCAATCATGCCACCTCCATATTCCCTATTTTCTCCAAGCAAACTGTGATACTGATCAGCAGCTTCCTGATAAAGCGACAGCACTGACTGTGTTGCATGTTTATGAATTGCTAATGGAGCCATTTATCATGCCGTACGACATGATTTACCATATTGAAAGTCACGCTTTGCAGTTTTACATTTAGAAGGTGAAAATTTAAGCGCAATCGACTGTATCAAGTGTCATTTTAATTTATGAGAGATTAATGTGGTGGTTGTGCTCTCCTCCCCCAGACTCATCAGGAGTTACAACTAATGCCTACATAATCACCCTTTTTACATTTAACTTCAGTCACACTCCCAGCATTGCTTTAGGCTGTATATTTTCTTCTGATTTTCGTAAAATGTTAGTGGAATAACTGTAGGTCATTACAGGATAACATGATTGATTCAGGTGTTAGTATGGCATCTAGGCCTACATATTGTAAACTGCTACACCTTTATCATTTTGAGAGATGTTAAGGTGTCAATCTGTGCTCGCCATTTTTGAATGGCGGTTGCAGGCTGCACAAAATTATGCAGAGGACCACAAATGGCCTACAGGCTGCACTTTGGACATCTCTGTTCTAGTCTCATCACAGGAAATGGGTCAGTACAGAATGTTATTATTAGTCCATATCACAATCCTGGGTGGTAATTCTTTAAGTTCAACAAAAGAAGATGCAGTGAAACTGAAAATTAAAAAGGTTTATATTTATTGTATTGGGTTATTCACAGAAGGCTATCCCCTTTCTATGAGATTAACCATGTACAGAGATTTGACATTAATATTAAAGGGGTATCTAATGGATCCAGTGAGCTTAATGATAGACATTTTAAACAAAAAAAGATCAGTTTGTTGCAGAAATCAATGTGGGATTTAGCTGTTGACAAAGTCAGCTAAATAAATGAAACTTTTTAGTTTACTGAAGGAAAAATAAGTCTCTTGAGTTTTCTTTTGAGTTAATGAAATAGAACTAGCAAGAATATTTTTGCAAATATTCTTTAGATTCTTGTTTTATATTCAGCTTAAGACTGCATGGATTTCCTAATTGCATCCCTTTCCTCAATGAACTTAATGTAGTATTCAATAGGAAAATCTAACTCTAATGATCAAACATAGAATAATTTAGAAATTTTAATTTGATCTGCCTGTCAAACCATAACACATTTGCCTTAATCGTTAAAAAACAATATTTAATGTGTGATCATTTGTATACTTAAAGGCATTAATGCTGTATGTTTTCTCCCTAAAAAATGTCACTTTTGTAGGCTGGTACTGTTTACTCCAGGAAATGTTTTTGTTTAAGCAGAATAATAAGAAATCTGTCAGGAGGTATTTATTTAAGCTGTTTTAGAATGCTTAATTATATACATACTGTATTGTAATAAAACTCAGATGTTAGGGCCTTTCTTTGGAGAAAATGGACAAATGGGTAGGGCCACCTCAGGGGCTAGGATTAGGCATGCAAGGATTATTGATGAATGGATATCATTAAATACATTTTTGATTTAACATTTTCTTGGATTAGAAGATAAAATGTGAGTACCATAAAAGAAACAGCGATTCGATTAAATACAATTTTATATATATATATATATATATATATATATATATATATATATATATATATATATATATATATATATATATATATTGTACATAGGATAGAAAAGTCAAATTTATTATGAGAAATCTAATTGCAGTATCAGCTTAAGAAGTGCAGTAAGTTATTATTGACAGGTCCACACTTTATGGCATCCTGATTCAGATTTCTAACTCGAGATAATTTACATTAAAACTTAACTCCTACTCAGAGTACTTTGGGTGTTAATAACTCCATGCTCAATTGAACACAAATTAGATATATTTTTCTTAATGTATTTTTCTCCTGACATCTCCAACTGTGCAGCATTCTGTTTCTAATCCAATTAATCTCTCTTTTTTTTTTTTTTTCCCAGCTTAGCGGCATCAAAAGAAGCTGCGGCAAGGAAAGCTGCCACTCCGATGCCACCGTCTGAGTTTCTGGACAAGCTTATGGGAAAGGTCTCAGGTTACGATGCCAGAATCCGACCGAATTTTAAAGGTAGGAGTTGCCACCAAGACTCAGTCGGATAAGGCAGGAATGTAGCCAAAGTTTCCTCTAAAAACTCATCTTGCTTCTGCATTCTTACTAACATCTTCAAATGCATTTTAGCAAAGACTATCACAGGTGGAAGGTTTGTATTTATTTTATTAAAAAGTGGTTTGAACAATTTTTTTGCATCAATGTAAAAATTCTGCTTTCTGTTTAATGTTTTTGGTCATAAATCTCTTGATCTCTTTTGTTTGCGCTTTGCAGTGATGAACAAAGGTAATTCTGCACATTGCCCAAATTGTTATAGACTGACTTAAGTTAGATGTTAAACCCTATTTCCCTCTATATTTTTTGAGCATAAATCCCTGTAAATGCACCTTAAGCCCCAATATAATGGCAAAAAAGCTTTTCCATCAACATATTTTAGATCTATAGCTATCATGATGCTAGTTGGCTACATTCCTTGGTATCCACACAGTATCCTGAGTGCTTGTTTTGGTGGTCAAGGTAATGTGCCTTCTTCCTGCCAGCGTGCTGCTGAATATGATTTGATCTTGAGGATGATGCTGATGATAATCTAAAATAAAGTGACCTTTCCCTGAATGTTAGCCCCCATAAAGACACATGTCAGAGGTTTCTTTGATAAATGTTCTCACATTAGAAAACAGTCTGAGCATTAATGAGTTTTACTACATGTTTAATGAAGCATATAATTAGTAGGATTAATGCAATATGTACAAAAAGATTACAGAGCATGGTGCAGAAACAGAACTGAATGTATATTTTGGAACACAACTCAAAACTAAATAAGGATTATAAGGTGAATGGGATTTTTCTCTCTCTTGTATTATTGCTAATCATTTGTGTTTCCGCAATAACCAACTCTTATTTATGTCAGTAGGTAATATTCTCATTACTTCCATTCCATTAAAAAAGGTTAATATGCTTTGGCCTGTAATAGTCTGAAATCCCCTAAAAACTGTTTGTTGTAATTAAATGGTTGTTCACTCATTATTAACAAGTTTCTATATTTAAAAGAACAATTTTCATTATTTCAAAATAATTTCTGAATCCTTTCTTAATTTTTGGGATATTATGGTAAAAAAAGGAACCTTGGAATTTCTTGAATTTACACAGTCCCTGCACAGTCAGAAAAAATATTCCTGTTGAGTCATAATCATCCATCCATCCATCCATCCATCCATCCATCCATCCATCCATCCATCCATCCATCCATCCATCCATCCATCCATCCATCCATCCATCCTCTTTCTTTGTAAATGGAATAAATATAAAACTGATCTTTATTTATATGTATTGTAAATACCAATCAAGCTTGCAATATCTCGCAATAGGATACATCAAATAAATTTGAGCCAGATATGAGTTTTGTGTTCTTTTGTTGTGATAGTAAATTTGTTAAACCAAGTTTTAGTGTACATGAAAAAATAAATAAATAAATAAGAACTAAAAAATGGCAACAGCTATTGGGACCAGAAAGAATAGTCTGAGTTGTGTGTAATTTTGTGCATACCCAGTCATCAACAGATATATCTATGTTTACATCTACAAGAAGCTAGAAAATCTCAAAATGTGTTTTGTCATATTGCAAACAAGAAACATTGTTTTTTTTGTGGTTTGTCCAAGCCAGCTTGACCTGATACTTACCTGTATTAATACCCATTTTTTCCAGACGAATGTTTTCTGTGCAGTAAACTACTTTTTAATATGCTGTATCTTTTAACTCTAGTCTTAAAACTTTAGGGACAGTAAATTAGTTAGCCCTGAAGCACCACAGCCTGGCTATGATTCCTTCTTTATTGTTTACAAATGAACATTCTTTTTTTAGTTATTAAAGCAGTAAAAAGGTTTTCTAATATTTTGTGCGGTAGGAACCGTAACACAGGATTCTTCTCCTGGGAACCTCAGCTTACGTTTAGAAATGAGGCACCACGGCATTATTTCCCCTCTCCGTTTCAGCCCATTATGTTATAACCCATTATATGGTGATCTTTCTAAGTGAGATATCTCGGCTAATGCAAGACAGAATAGAGTTAGGCGGAGGAGTTTTGGCGTGACTAACTGTCTGTTATTAAACTGGCTTTGGCTTCACAACAGCTGAACAAGCTCTTAACATGCAGAGAATTCACTCAGGTGTGTGTCAGTAATACGTTTTAAGACATCTCTAAATTTTTTACTTCTGATTTTCAACGATCTGCCATTATTGGCTGGAGTAAGTGCAGCAATAGTGTATTGCAGATTAGATTAGAAAGCAGGCCTGAATTCAGCTTTATTCCAGTATTTTAGAATAAAAACAGAAATATTTGAAAGTGATGTGGTGAAATACTCTGTTGGCACAAAATTACTTTGATGGATTGATCTGTGATTTGTTTAAGATATTTTATATGCAGCTTTCTAAACTTCATATAATTAATCCTTGGTAGACAGAATCTGATGGGATTTTTCTGAATCTGTCATGATGTCACTAAAGATGAGATGAGCATACATTTGTTTATTCACTCCAGTTTTCCATTATGTTTTTGTGTCCGTCCCCTGACAACTGAAAACCTTACTAAAATAAAACAGTTTAGACTGTATGCTCTGCAAATTAATAAACTCTTAAGGAAAAGAAATAAAAAAACTCAGACAATAAACCCAGAAGACAAGAAGCAGAAATAGTTAAGTGCAACAGTTTCTGAATATTTCTCAGGCTTTGGTGACTCTCTTCCTTATCATTTGCAAAGATGATTTTCTCTGTAAAAAAAATAAATAAAATAAATAAATAAATACTTTAATCCCCCCAAAACAGAAATTAATTAACTAACTTTTCATGGGCCAATAAAAATACAATTTAGTAAAATGTATGTAAGATTCATATTAAAATGTCATTGAGAAGTTCTAATGTTTGGGATGATATCCCCTTACAATACTAATTTAGGACTAATCCAATTTCTCTCTCAGCAGGTAGGTGTTTATGTAGGCATATCTGCAAGTCTGTAGCTGCTGATTTTCCTATAATTGCTGATTAATCTTAATGCTACCCGCTTAAAAAATTTTTTTTTGGGAATACATTGGTTTTGGGGATTTTATATGATGAAAAATAGTAAAAATGAAATGATACAACATAGATGTCATACAGCAACGTATACAGTTAGTTAGCTATTTTGTTATTCACTTTAAACCAAATAAAACCCTTGTGGAAAAAAATGATTAATCTATAACAATTAAGCACAAAAAACACAAGCTCAGCGGTGAGTTACTGTACATGCAGTCGAGTACAGTGAGGGATTCTCATACCTCTACTAAACAGGAGCTGACCCAACACAAAACTAACTCCTCAGCATTTAATGCACATCTTAAGGACATGTGACACTCAACTTAATACAGTAATGGGCACATTTTGGACAGCAAAGACAGATAGATTGAGTGAGCAAAGAAGTGACCTACATTAAACATAAAATACAAACATTAAACAGCACACTGGAAAAAATGGAAATCTAGATAAGTTATTTTTTCCTAAAATAAGTGCATTTGTTCTTGGATTGAGCAGGTAAAAGAGACATTTTGCCAATGGAACAAGACAATTTACATTTAAAATAAGAAAACACAATTGCATTGTCTTATTTCAAGTGCAGTTTATCTAAATATCTTCTTTTAAGAGTAAAAATACTAATTCCATTGGTAAAGCATTTCATTTACCCTCTCAAATTAAGAGTAAATACACTTAATTTAAGAAATTTTACTTATTTCTAGATCGTTTTTACAGTGCAGCAGCAGCCTCAGGTTTCATTGGCCTTTTCTTGAGCCCTATAGGTACGGCCCTATAGGCCTTTTAATTAAGGACTTAGGAATATATCTAGGTCTTACAGTTTAACTGTTGATCCTGCAAAATAATATTTGATTAAATGTTTAAAAAATTGGATAGAGTTTAAATATGTACATTCATGCCTAATTAGCAACTGCAGTTTTAGTTTAAGAATTTAAAAATAATACAAGCAATGCATATTTTGTTTCAAGACAGAACAATGTCTGTCAGTGTTTGATTCTAAAAGGTAATAGTAGCCTTTGTAGCAGGCAGAGATGTGACATTAACACAGAGAGAAGGAGAGAACATGCAGCAATGGGGCTCAGGGTCACAACTTGAACCCCAGACCGCAGCATGCTTCAGCCCTCTGCCTCTACAAGATATACAGTTTCCAAAACTTCTGTAATAGGAATGTTGCTGCCTCATATGTGTTCATATATAAACTATAAAACCCTGTTTGGATGTCAAACTCTGAAAACTTGGTGTTGGGTAAAATTGTAGTGTTAGGTAAAATTGTAGTGTCAGGTAAAATTCGGGTAAGAGAAAAACTGTTTAGGATTTTCTAAATTATTATTAGGTGTCTTATGTGTTACTAGTGTTAATGGCTTTTTGTTAATCACTAGATTATTAGTTTGAATGAAAGAGAATGTAATTTAATTTAATTGTTAGATTTAAACATGCAGAAATTTATTTCTCTAAATGCGCCTAGCCTACACATTTTCTCTTTTGGTGAAATTAGCACCAACCAATCTACCTTTTCCACAAAGATACAGCAGACTTAAGACAGCAAGGGAAACATGACAGGAAAGAGATGAGATTTGCCCAAAGCTACGAATATAGTACCAGCATGAGAAGAAATTACAGTGATCATGACTCGGGGCGTCCACTGTGTGAGCAGAAAGCTTCCGATTGATTTAGCAGGTTCCTCCATTGGACTACGAAGAGGAAACACTGCTGACACATTCAGGACAAGCCATTTATAATCCATGAATTCATCCATCCTTTCATTCTCTCTCCCTCCCTTCTTTGTCATTCTTATAATAGTATGCTCCCCTCCCCTTTTTCTATTCCATCCTTCATTCATGTTTGGAAACCATCCATTCTCCTTAAACCACAATAACTTTTATTCTGCTTTTTCTCTTATTTCTCGTGTTGTTAATATCCTTGTGGGTTCTTATGATATGGACTTATTTGTTCCTGTTTT